GGCTGAGCACTTTGGAAAGCAATTTAATCGGTCGGAGTTGTTAGATTACCCGCCGGCCACTGATCGCCCCGCTCCCTGGGCTGTCCCTTTGGATCCACCCTCTCGCCCAGAAGTCGAACATGAGACTGAACTGTTGAAGTTAAATAAAGCCGTGGGACCTGATGATCTTTCTCTAGCCCTCTTTAAATTCGGGGGACCTGCTATTGTGGATGATTTACACGAGTTACTAGTCAAACTGTGGGAGCAGCAAACTGTCCCAACCGATTGGAGCCGCTCCATCCTAGTCCCAATTTTCAAGGAAGGCTCATGATCGAAATGTTGCAACCATCAATGCATCACTCTGATCTCCATCGCCTCCAAATTCCTTGCCTCTATCATCTTTCACAGACTGACTGGCACTCGTGAAAGCCAGATTCGTGAAGAGCAAGCTGGATTTCGTCGAGGTCGTAGCTGCATTGACCACATCTTCACCTTGCGTCAGTTGTTGGAGCACCGTCACATATATTGGCGGCCCACCGTTGTCGTGTTCCTCGATATCAAAGGTGCATTCGATTCGGTGGATAGACATGTACTTTGGGACTCTCTACTCAGGAAAGGTGTACCTGAGAAATATGTAAATATTATCCGCGCATTACATGCGCGTAGCTCGGGCAGAGTGAGGGCTTACGGCAAGTTGTCGTCGCCCTTTAGTATCTCCAGCGGCGTGAGACAAGGATGCCCGCTGTCACCTTTCCTCTTCAACTTCGCTGTTGGCGAAGTCATGGAAATCGCGTTCACAGGACACGACTTAGAAGGTGTGGAGCTACTCCCAGGAGAACGACTTCTTGATTTAGAGTATGCTGATGATATTGCCCTCATCTGTGACAGCTCGCAGACGGGCCAAGCGGCACTGGACAGATTAGCACTAGCTGTCCGTCACTTCAGGCTTTGCTTCGCACCCTCAAAGTGCAAAGCTTTTCTCCAAGATTGGTCTGGACCGCCTCCTACGCTGACCCTTGGTGGGGATCAGCTAGAAGTCGTTCAAACATTCAACTACCTGGGAAGTTGTATCAGCGCCCGTGGGATTGAAGATGAAATCACGAATCGTATAGGAAAAGCTCGACGCGCTTTTGCTAACCTTCGCCACTTATGGCGCCGGCGCGACATCACTCTCGCGCTGAAGGGTAGAGTGTACAATGCAGCGGTACGTTCGACCCTACAGTACGGTTGTGAAACCTGTCCGCTTAAAGCAGCGGACCTGAAGAGGCTAGTTACGTTCGACCACCGGTGTCTTCGTAATTCAGCTCACATTTGGTGGGAACACCGCGTGAGCAACGAGCGTGTTCGACGCCTTGTTTATGGCAAAGGAAAAGGAAATGAACCGCTCAGCACCGTTATTTCACGCATCAGGCACCGATGGCTCGGCCACGTGTTACGCATGCCAGCCCACTGACTCCCTCGACGTGCGTAGTTTGCGCGCCGGGGGTGTGGATGGAAGAAGAGGAGGGGTTGCTAAGCGATGACTTGGTCCAGAGGAATGAAAGCCCTCACTTCTGAGCTGGCCTCGGTTGGAGCGTCTCGGCTCCGTGGTTGGGGTCCGAAAGACGATGAACACGTTTGGTTGGACACACTTGCTGATATGGCTAGGAGCCGACCTCAGTGGCGTTCGTGCTGTGAGTTTCTTTGTCCCACCCCATTCCTGTTAGCCTCCCCCTCCAACCACGATCTCATTATTTAGCCTTATATAATTTCGCATAGTAATTTTTTCTTGACGCACAGTAGCCGGCTGGTAGCTTGCCGGAACGATGCCCATCCGTTACCGGTAGCTCAGCCGGCTTGCACCAGTTGCACTCATTTTTCTCTTTTTTGTGTATTGTGGCACAGTAGCTGAGGTGTTCCCCACCTCTAGCTAACGTGTATAATGATGATGATGATGTCCTGGGCAACCGGGAAATGGCATTCCTACACCATTTATGTAACAACCTTTCAACGACTCTGAGCGCCAAAACAACGAGGTCAACGTATTTCTTGGGTCAAAAGCATGAAACTGATGACCTCGAATTTGGCCGCGATCGGGCGCTCTCGGTTTAGCAATTGGTGGCGGAAGGATAACGAACGCATATGGCTGGAAACCCTCTCGGACATGGCAAAGAACCATGCGTAATGGCGAACATGTTGTGATACTCTACTCCCGTAACTTACATTTTATACTTTTGCTCTCCCTTTCTCTTCACTACAGTTGAATAGTATTTATCTGTATTTTTTGTAGAAAGTAGAAGTTACGATTAAAATATTGCACAATAATCTGACTCGACGGAAAATCGAAACACGGCTTCTACTTTCTACAAGAAAGTACACTACTCACAAAAGCACCAATAAGCTAAATTTATCTATATGTTGTGGCACACCATATATGATTTGGCGGCGTCCGTATCCGGATTTGCCTGTCACTGTGACGTCCATGGGGACAGTCACAGGACGCCTGCGCCTACAAAGGGGACCATGGGTGGCTTGCGCTGCATCACCCATAGTTCCACCCACACACCCCATATCCAGTGTAAACCCGAAGGAATAAGACCGGGAGGCATGCAGATGGGAGCCACGTTTCATCAACGGAGCCGGCCCACCATATATGGTTGGCTGCATCCGGTTTCGGATCTGCCTGTCACTGTGGCCAGCCACAGGACGCCTGCGCCTACAGAGGGACCATGGCTGGCTTCGTTGCACCACCCACAGCTCCAACCACACACCCCATATCCAGTGTAAATCCGAAGGAATAAGACCGGGAGGCATGCGGATGTGAGCCACGTTTCATCAACGGAGCCGGCCCACACTCCTTCACAGGCAAACACAAGCACGCTGTATTTGGGAAATCAAGCGCACACAAGGCGGTGGCTGGACCGTAGTCCACTCCACACTAAGTGTATGGAACCGCTCTTCGAGCCTAGCACGGCCACAAGGACCGTGCACCCCGTCCCCTCCAACAACGACCAACTTCTCCTGGAGCCAGTATGAACGAGGTAGTGGGTAATAGACAGGTAGACACCTTGTCAACATGCACATTAAGCGCAGCCACACTGGGGATATCAAGCAACAGCCAATCACCTGAAACGACAAGATGAAATAAAACAAATCCAATAATGCATACAGATACGGTGGCATAACTCTTCGCTAAATTAGCATATGAAGTAAGTTGGTTAGCAACGAATCCGCGATAAGGAAGTGTCAACAATTTAGTTAAAAATGCTACAAACGCAACAAAATTACCGAAGGTAAGCGCGATTAGCGTAAGCAACGTGGCCAGTTAATAGAACATCATTCAGGTAGGCAGAACAAACCAAATAAAGTGGAATGAAATTTAGCCAGCTTAAAAATACCCAGGTTAAGTGCAAGTTGATTTAGCCCAACTGCGGTGAAGAAGCATCAAGAATGCAACATCAGCCTCAGCATGGGGCACACGTACATACATGGTTGGCGGCATCCGGTTTCGGATTTGTCTGTCACTGTGGCCAGCCACAGGACGCCTGCGCCTACAGAGGGACCATGGATGGATTGCGCTGCACCATCCACACCATATATATATATATATATATATATATATATATATATATATATATATATATATATATATATATATATATATATATATATATATATATATATATATATATATATATATAATATATATATATATATATATATATATATATATATATATATATATATATATATATATATATATATATATATATATATGTAGTGAGTGCCCCTAGCTGAGGTATATGTTGTGTACATCATGCTTCCTCACCGCAGTTAGCCTACACCGACTTACATTTAAACTAGATCAGCTTAATTTGGATAAAGTGTATTTCGCTTTACTTGGTTTCTTTAGCTCTTTTATGCAGTTTTGTGCTTTTTGGTTTCAAATTCTGTGTTGGTTGTTTGAGATCCTCAGTGTGGCTGCGCTTAATATGAATGTTGACAAGGTGCCTACCTGTCTAACACCCTCCACCTCGATTAATGGCACCAGGAGATTGTTAATCGTCGCTGGTCGCACGGTCCCTGTGACCGTGTGGTTCCATGCATACATTGTGGAGAGGTCTACGGCCCAGCCACGGCCTTGTGTACCTCTAGTACGCACGCTTTCCCATGTAGACATGAATGCTTTCGCTCCGTTGATGAAACATGGTTCCCATCCACATGCGTTTCGTTCTTATTCCTTCTGGTTTACACTGGATATGGGGTGTGTGGTTGGAGCTGTGGGTGGTGCAGCGCAAGCCACTCATGGACCCCCTGTAGACGCAGGCGTCCTGTGGCTGTCGTATGAAGACCTCAGTGACAGACAAATCCTGAATCGGATTCCGCTAACCATATACAAAGTGTAGCGGATTACAAAAGCATGTTAAAGATCTTGTCGAAGACTTTTGATATGATGTTCTATGGAAAAGTTGTATATAGGACGAGGTTACACAGTAATGTGTGACCGTAATCACGAGAATAGGGTGTCTTTGGAAATAGTATTGGATAACTACACTGAAAGAGCGATAAATTATCAGTTAATCTTCAGCGTGCACGCCTTGATGTTCATTCAGCATCGTGGACTACCATCTAGTTGGTCTGGGTTGGAGTACAAGCAGTAGTCGGTGCTCAGGCAGTGAGTGCAAAAGCTGTGAGTCGGTTGTCAGATATGTCTGGTGGTATGTTTGAGCGGCTGTGATGTGCATGTCAGGGAAGATGACTTTGGGTGAATACTCCACAGAGGGATAAATAGTAACACAAACTCTGTGGCGATGCGGAAGTAAGTGTCCAACAGGACTGGGGAGAGACCGGAGATATCAACTGGAGCGACGGTTGGAAAAAGAAAAGTTACGATCTGAAGAATAGAGCATTTATGTGAAAACTTGTATATGCAGCAAATAAACGAGATCAAGTTTATTCAGCGGTCCAAGTGACCTCAGGTTGTTGACCTACTCATGACGCTACACAGTGGATGTGAGCATGTAAAGAAAGTAAAATCTCACCGAATTTTGCACGGAGAACTTCCGTTTCACAACGGCCGCATTGGAGACGCATTGAAGCAAGGTGATTGTGAAGTGACCGAGTTGTAGCACCTTCTCGTCACTGGAGTCTGTGCCGGATGGTGCATCATCAGCAGGGCCTGGCCAGTATTGAACACATTTTTCCTTCGGTCCTTCGACGAGCCTGAAAGAGAGGCAAACGGCGGATAAGGTGAACGCGTAGAACTGAAGAAGGTGATAGAAGATTGGAGTTGAGACGAAAGCATAGGTATTGGAACGAAATTTTAACTAAGACAGTGGCGATATTATATGGTTATATCGTGATGCGAAAAATTAGCAAAGAGGCAACAGAACCTAAGAAGCTTAGCGATGCGTTGTCGACGTAAAACTAAATCTGTCAGGAGGGAGGTGTTTCTTGATGAATTTCATGCAGCCATTTCCCTTCAGAAATTTTAAGAGAATAGAAACGAACAGTATTTTTACGGGATAAACTGAATTCAGATTATTTCGTGTCTTTTCATTCAGCCGCTTACAGACAATTCGTGGAAAGAGTAAAGGAATGTAATCGAAAAAGCGTCAATAAGAAAATCAAGAAAACACTGAGAAAATCAAGGTCATCGCCTTCGTCTTACCAGGGCAAGGCAAGACTGGCCACAAGGTCTACCTGTTTGCAAAGGTTTGGTTTCATTCGTCGGATGGCAGAGGCTTCAGCGAAACGAAGTAAGCTCGCGTTGCTTTGTCTGCTGATAACCTTGAATGCGTCACGTGGGTTTTCGCACAAGGTACAATCAAGCAGATGCTGAGCGATTGAGCTGGCAGGGAATTTAGGTCCACTATTTGCCAGGTTCCGTGGAACATGTTCCATGATCCTAGTTGATAGCCTTTTCTCGGTTCGACCAATGTACATGCTACCGTAAGTACAGGTGAATTGGCTTCGTTTCGCTGAAGCCACTGTCATCCGACGAATGAAACCAAACCTTTGCAAACAAGTAGACCGTGTGGCCAGTCTTGCCTTGCCCTGGTGAGACGCAGGCGATGACCTTGATTTTCTCAGTGTTCTATTGATGTTCTTATTGTCCATTTTTCAAGTGCATTCCTTTAATCTTTCCACGAGTTGTCTGCAAGCGGCTGAATGAGAAGACATGAAATAATCTGAATTCAGTTTATCCCGTAAAAATACTGTTCGTTCTTACTCTCGTAAAACTAAATAATGGCTAAACTATGTCCGTCACGATTCCTACCCTCGATACAGTCCAATCCGAGTTACATGGAGCAATCAGCGGGTGACAACTCGAATCGTCTTACCTCATTGCAGATATAACAGTGTGAGAAGTCTACCCGCAACCGTGATCGTCAACCCGTGAAGTTGAGTTTAAGTATGTTGTAGTTAGTGTAAACAAGAGGCCAAATTCGTGCGTCCTCCATAGATTTTTTCAGCTCAACTGGGTCGCATAACAGTGGAAAAATGAACAAGGGCATTGCGCGGATGGATTGTGAACTCAGGCTAGTGTAAAGTTGTCTGCTTTGTCTCCCAACACCGAAATCTACGACTGGTTCCGTCCAGATTTGGACACCTCAGGTATATATGAATAAATATTAAAATAAATAAATTGGAGGATCATCACAGCAGCTTCCCAATCAGATAGTCCTCCATACGCTCGGAAGAGTCCTAAACTGCAAATTCGACTTGTTGGGCCGTGTCAGTAATGCGCAACTACCTATCCGGAAAAGCACCAGACGGCCGTTTCGCCCTATTGGGGCTCGTCAGTGGTGCGCATCCTTCGGTCCTCTAGTGGGGATCGAACCCATGACTGCTAGTGGCTTGTGCCAACTAGCCTGCTGCTTATGCAACTGAGCCATGGAGGACGGTAGCCGACCACCACGAATTGTTAGTTAACTGCAATATAGCCCGACCCATCCCCCACTGTCACGCAGGCACCTGCCATGCAGATGACAGCGGTTGGCCTTCCGGCGTCAGGACTTCCCGTTTACGGCAGCTATGAAGCGACATAGCATTTATGGAATCCGTGAGGGCGAATTCATATTACTTATGAGTAGAAGGATTTTAGCGAGTATTTTTGTTCGTCGCAGTCAGCTGACCATTCGGATAAGTCAACTACCCATCCGGAAAAGCACCAGACGGCACCAGCTGACTGCGACGAACAAAAATACTCGCTAAAATCCTTCTACTCATAAGTAAAATAAATTCGCCCTCACGGATTCCATAAATGCTATGTCGCTTCATAGCTGCCGTAAACGGGAAGTCCTGACGCCGGAAGGCCAACCGCCGTCATCTGCATGGCAGGTGCCTGCGTGACAGTGGGGGATGGGTCGGGCTATATTGCAGTTAACTAACAATTCGTGGTGGTCGGCTACCGTCCTCCATGGCTCAGTTGCATAAGCAGCAGGCTAGTTGGCACAAGCCACTAGCAGTCATGGGTTCGATCCCCACTAGAGGACCGAAGGATGCGCACCACTGACGAGCCCCAATAGGGCGAAACGGCCGTCTGGTGCTTTTCCGGATAGGTAGTTGACTTATCCGAATTGTCAGCTGACTGCGACGAACAAAAATACTCGCTAAAATCCTTCTACTCATGTGTAATACTTGTGGCGTTGTCGCGACATTTCGGTTTTGCTAAAAGGTAGGGGTTTACAATACTTGTGTTCGCGCGATGCTTTGTATGGACCCGAATTCTGGCCGATCCGAGTGGATGACATGCGTAGACTTTCGGCCTTCAACAACGGCTGTGTGCGGATTATCATCCGTGTATGTTGGCAACACCGCATGCGCAATAATGATATCAGACAACGCGGACCTCCCGCTTTATGAGCTTGTACTATTGCGCCAGTAGCGATCGCCTGGTCACGTCCTGCGCATGTTCGGTTAGCGGTGCCACGCCCCGCCTTATTTGTGCATGCTGGGCTGCATTGGAAGAGACAACATGGCGACCAGCCGAAAAACTGGCGACAAAACTTCAAATCCGAGTTAGTTCATCACAATTAGATTCCACGTCGCAAAAGTAAGCTACCAATCCGGAAAAGCAGCAGACGCGCGTTTCACCCTATTGGGACTCGTCAGTGATGTGAATCCTTCGGTACACTACCGGGGATCGAACCCATGACAGCGATGAACCAAATCGAATCATAATCAAACTTTTCGATTAAACGTTCTTAAACACATAACGATGGTTGCTGACGCGGAAATGTCCGTTGTAAATATATATCTCGATATGCGTAAAACATTTCACCAAGTTCCAAACGTTAGATGACGAAAGAGGTTACATTTTGTTGGCAGCTTGTAATTGATCGTATCTACCGACCTCCCCGAGCAACCCACCATGAAACCTAACACCTAATGGATGCTATCAACACAGTTTCAAGCATTAACTACAAGTCAAAACATATGTGCGAAAATTTCAATGCGCCACCAGTTAACTGGCTACTGCCTGAACCTACGATCTAAACGGGACTAGAAGAAATGGTGTACTCTATCCACTTCAATGGCTGCATCAAATGTCAGAGGACCCACCAGAAATGCCAATACCCTAGATTTAGCATTCAACACGAGGATTCATTCCACTTGTGCACTCACTGACAGTCCACTACCGGGATGTGACAACAACACAGCGTTTTGTATCGTGAACATTGAACGAATCAAGCCACTCAAGTACAATGTTTCAACCCACACAGAACATTCACCGAATTAACTGGAATGTATTTAAGGAACTTATCTGCACAATGAATTGGGAGCCATGATTCTGAACCAACAACCTGACTATGGCTGCCGGTGAAATTGTCAACAATGCTGCCGCGTGTACTGATGTATTGGCACCTATGGTAAGGAACCGCACCTACAGGCAATGAGACAAACATACACGACTGAACAAGTTCCGGAATGACACAATCTTGCAGTAATTCCTTGTACGAAGATACTAGAAAGCGTAAGGCATTAGTACTGCGAAACAACGACCTACCGGTCGCATTACCGGAAAACAAAAATGGTCCCATGATGCTTTGGCCAGTTAACCCAACCCATGCCATGAACATTGCGCCATGTTGTATACGTGAAGCGCTGCATCGGCGTGGAATACACGTTGCCCGAAATTGTTGCTTCTCCGCACCGTGCAAACGGAAAACAGCCTCATGGGGAAAAAGATGTGAATGGATGTCTATGGGATTCAAAAACTTGCGGCAAAATCAAGCCACTTCTCTGAAGCACATGGTTTAAAACCTACACTTGACGCGTGCTATACTCCCGGAATTTCTTTTCCTTCAAAATCCTATGGACAGCATATCTGGTGGTGGCGCAATGCTGGGTGAGTTTACGGATGCTCAGGTCGCAGCTTCTGCATACCTCATGAATAACCACACAAACAATAAAGTCATGTGGGGTGATGCGAGGCAACCCTGTCTTTTTGGCGTCGCAAACGCTCCCAGTTTTCTCAAATTTTCTCGCCCGCTTTCACCTTTCAGAGGAAAAATAAGCACTCGCTGATTAACAGGCATGTAATACGATTCGGATTGAGGGTAATGTGGTGACAGCGGTATGTGCTCGTGATTCATCACCCAGCCATTGATCCGATAAACAAATGACAGGAATTTCATCACTTCGCCTAGTCATAACCTGACTGTTGTGTGTGTGGGTGTGTGGGTGTGGGTGTACTTTGTGACCAGCGTCGCCCTACACTGGTGAGGTCCGCGCTCGTTGCCCTCACACTGAAAGTTGGTGGTTTGCCTTTCAGTCCGCAGTCGTATCGGAGTCAGGTTATCGTGTGCTTTGGATAATGAGTTCGGCTGAGTCTCCGCGCCAGAGTGGCCGTCAGACGATGCAGTTTGCAGTCGAGTCTCCAATTCACATGCGGCACGACAAAAGGGGCAGAGAGACAACTATGACAGCCTACGCGCAGTCTCATGGACGCTTGCGCTTTTACACAGCGCGCCGATTGGACGGGTTAAGTTTAGAGAGGACGCGTCCGGTTTCCTTCAGGCACTCCTTGATGCAACAAACAGGGATGCCGCTGGACCTATATTCTCAGACTGCCTGTATATATAGCGCGTGTTGTCGTCCACCACCATGCAAGTTAGGAAGGTTACAGAGGACAGAGTTGGCTCCAAAGGCACTATGTCTACTGATCTTAGCTAGATAAGACATATCATTTATAAACTGTTAGTGTGAATACTTTGATGTGCTCATGAGTATGGGGTTTCTGATGGAAGCTGCTGGGACGTGTTGCCCTCTGGGAATCAAGAAGAAAGTTTGGGCAGCGATCGCAATATCATTATTAAGTAGACTCGGTTATTTATAGAGTGCATACAGTATTTCGATGTTGTCCGTTCACTGACGGTCAGTCCTGCCCATGTAAATGACATTTACATTTACATAGGCAGGACTGACCGTCAGTTAGCCCAGAGGGTAGCTGAACATGTGCCGAGGTGGTTGGAACAATTCATGACGCAACAAAACGGAGTGGATCTGAGGATGAACCGGAGCCCAGCATCATCTATCACCAAGCATCTCTTAGCAACTCGACATCAGGTGAACCCGGAGGCTGCGTTCAAGGTGTTATTACGCAACAACCATCTGAGAATTTTGGCAATTAGTGAGGCCTTGCTAATTAGGGGTTATCAACCTGTGTTGTGTGCACAGAAACCATTGAGACAATCAATTAGTTTACCGTGGTCTTGATTTTGACATTTTAATTGGTGTGCCAATTTTCCCCCGTATATAACTGTCCATGAATTCCGCTTGTATTCTGTTTGTAACTGAAGAGAACAATCGAAGTGTTGCCATATCGCAACTTATGTCTTCTCACCGCTCTGAGGAAATGGCTGAAGGGGACACACCGTTTAACGTCTCTACTTTCGTTTGAGTTGCCCTCAGTCCATTGGTATTGCATCAACTCCATCCGTCCCCAGTCTCAGCTACCAACACAAGGGGAACCCGCAATTAAGTATATCAAAAGTTCCCTACTCAGGAGTGGATAAATAGGTTTCTTCTGTTCGAAGCGAGGCACATCCATATAGGCATCCATATGGACATAGAGAAAAATGTGTGAGTTAGGAGTGGAACCTAGTACATGGTGATCGAGGGCTTACGTTTTGGTCACTATGCCAGTGTTCCGTAAGCAGCGCTTGACGTAATGGTTAGAACTTCACTGTAAAGCTGTAGGCTACATTGCGTGAAGCTGCCGGTTCCCTGGTCAAAAATGGCCGCTGGCCAAGCATGTCCTCAGAGGCAGTTTTCTGGGCGGCATCTCCGAACGGTCGGGGAGTTCTGTACACACTATGTACTCTAAATTTTCATTCATGTATTCCTGGAGGAATCGCGGTTCCGATCATTATGTGAAGAGACAGTGTTTTGTAATACTTACACGGAAGAGAGGATTGAGCTGGTGTGACTCGGGTACGTAAAGCGAACTATAATGTCCCATAGTCCCAGAAGATACTGATCAGTGAAGTATTACACGGTTTCTGAAGATAGGTTTCGTCGAAAATCATTTGGTTGTATTACTCATCAACCGGGTTTGCGATGAAAAAATTGTGGAGCCAAAAAGAAGCCAATAAATTGTGTTGGTAGGTGGGGACGAAAAACAGAACTCAACCATCCTAGAAAACCCGCGTGCAATCTTGTTAACGAAATACACTCCCTTGTGGCGGCCCAATGTGGCATTACTACGATATAGGTGTACGGTTTGGATAAGGTATCGTAACGATACACGCAATGCAGACCGGTTACGGTGACGATGTCTAATGGGTAACATGAGATCGGCAAGAAGCGTTTCACCGACTGAACCAGTTCACATGCAGTAGCAGTCTGACCAATGACTCAAATAATACAAATGAGCAATTATTCCGGATGTACAATGTATTGGCTACTGTTCCTTACTTAACATTTAGCTAAAAGGCCCAAACCGGGAACTGGGCCACTATGTCGTAATGAGATAGTCGCAGGGTCGAATTCTGAAGGGGACACAAACAACTGGCAAAAGTACAAGGCGACCACCCGGTGTGCCTTTCCGCATGCGGTGCCTGACTAATGCCGGGGGCAACTAATTGCGTCAAAGTAATTTGACATCCACCCATCACATTCAAACGACCGATAAAACCGCCAAAAAGCACAATCAAAGATTAGTCAATCAAGTGATCGAATGTATCCCACAAGAATAAGGAAGCGCGGCAGTGGCAAACTGGCAAGTAAGTAAGAAACATTGAAAGTTGGGTTTAGGATGCTGTGTCAAACGTCGCTCGTGGATATCAGTGGCTTGTGATCAATGCGTCGGCAGTTAATGACTATGCACTGAGCTTCACTCACAGCTCAAGTTATCTCCGCTTGATGAGTTCAAACGAGGACGAAACCGTCAGTCGTGGGGTTCAGCGTTGCATACGCGCAAGTAACAATCATCTGTTTCCGATGCGGTCTCATTGAACGAACTGACCGATTTTCACTTTAAAGTGAATTCCAGCCCTGACTCGGATTACTTGTCGCAATGCACTCACACGATTGATGTTTCAAGATGACCCTCAAATAAGCGGATGTGCTCGAAGCATTATCATTCACCTTATTGTCTCAGCAAACATCAGCAACAGAGTATACATCGGTAGTCAAAGATGGCCAGCAGCCCAGTGTTCTAGAAAAAAACATGGTGGTCAAATCTCCGCTGAGTGAACAGCACATCATACCATCTGCATCCGCGTTCAAGAGGTTGAAAAGCCACGGAGGCTTTACTTATGCTTACTCTGACCTCGCTGATGTGACGACCAGAGATGATATGAGTGCCCAGGGAACTGGACCGATAAGGCCCTTTTCAATATTATTCAGAAATGGTCAGACAAATGGTATGTCGATGGAATTCACAGTTGTTCTGAGTGCACACAAAGTTGCAGCGTAGTCGACGTCCTGTCTGGGTCTCTGATAGGTTTGAGAGATTAAAATTGAAAGCATGGTTATTTATGCGAGGTGAAACTCTCGCAATTCTATCGGTGCAACGAACACATGGTGAGCGAGCTACAAAATCACGTAGCTCAGGAGTATGTACAACGCACAAATTTTCCCTGCATTTCTGAGGCTTAAAATTTCGAATCTGTTTGTACTAATCTACTCCAGCTGTTGTCCGAAGGAACGTGGCAAGCGACCCATCATGTGTCGCAACAGTTGCATTTTCAGAAATGCCCACTTGCTGCTATTTCTAATTTCGTGAGGGAATTACCACGATAAGTGTGCACTGCTTAGAATCATTTTAATTATTCCGTGTCGCGTCAAAGCGAAACCCAAAAAATACAAATAGCGCCTGTCGATCGTTGCCGGAGTCGCCGCTTGCGGGCGATTACAGTAAGAACTGTGCACACAGTGGGAACTTCTGTAAGGCTGCATCATTTCACAGCTGTAACCTAGTTGGTTGACTCTCTGCCCACTTCTCTGTCGCACTAAGTTTAGACTGGTTATAAGCTACTGGGTTAAATGACACCATAGTACTCTCTACTATTCTGGAAAAAACGCGACTGATCAAGTCTCCACCAAGAAGAAATTTTACCTTCATGGCTTTGATAGGTCACTGAAGGAAAAATTGACTCAATCCATCAGCCTTCTCTAATTTTGTATAATGTGCATGTGTTTTGAGTGAATACGCTGCGTTTTCTTTTCACTTCTATTTGCTAAACCCCGGGGGTGAATCAGCTGACGTTCCTGCGCCCGGTGCCTCCTGCAGTTTGAAGAAGTATAGAGATGTCGATGACCTAAACTCACGGTGCGCAATTCCGGACTTTGGTAGGAGCATATGGTCAATGGATTGCACGAGGCACGAATGCACTCATTTGTTAGACGAAGTGATCTCTGAGATTGGCAACTGTGTTGCAAACATGTCACCAGTCGTGGTGACATGATCAGTACGTGGGTGTGTGGCGTAACGGAGCGATGTGTAAGCATTATTTATTATTCAGCTGAAAACCCTGTGTCCAACTTACTAGTTGTAGTTAAGTTTCGTTCAACGCCTAGGAACGAGTCTGTATAGAAACGTGAGGTGAACAGATTATGTATGTGACATCAATTTGGCAATTACCGAGTAAGAGTGAGTATTAGTTTGACCCCATGATCCCAGATCATTTGCCAAAACAAGACTCGAGTTTGCTTCACTGGGGCCTGAGCGGCGATGTATGTCCGAGGGAGCAGATTCGACTGAACCAAACAGTACGCAATGCCCGGTGCCCTCCCAGGTACCAGACTCGCATTGACATAGTCCGAAGCAATCCAGTGCTCTTCAGTCAAGAGTTTATTGTCCGAGTCCAATGAAGCAGTTTCAACTTTCTCAACCGGAGGTGCCTCACAATGATTTGCTGACGCATCCGCGATTGGACAGTTGGTGGGTGTCGGTTGCCCGATGATATCCACCATTCGCCATGATTTGAGCAAATGGACGTAATTATGATCAACTGCGCACATAACGAATAGGATAAAGAGGCAGTTAGAATACGACGTGGCTATAAGCACAATCAGTGGGCCACTGCGTGCTTATAATCGTAAAATTACTACGAACGGAAACAGCAAACTGAACAATTTGTAATTATAACCACGCTGAACCAAACGGATAGGTCGGAGTCGACACATCACAAGCAAGGTATAACCTAAGAAAACAAACAGGTTAGACATTTTTCTTGCTTGACTGCGTTCTACAGGTGATACAGGAATATAAATTTACATTAAAGTGTGTGGATGAAACGGGACACAGCTGCGAAGTGAATGGCCAGACAACACTTGGATCAGTTGCCTGACGGACGCCTGGATGTAATAGAAGGTAATAAGTCGTCGATAATGCGTCGGTACCTTGTAACGACGTGTCCCTGTCAAGTGACCACCATTAGTGGCGTGAGAGCTGAGGGTACTGCGAGATAGCCCGCTCACATGCAGCCTAATACCGGCGATTGTGGTTTACAAGCCAGACACCTAAATCCCTCCGACTCCGGTCGGTCAAAAGTAAGGAGAACATTTGAACCACACAGCGGACTTGTATACAAACTCGGGCACAACAGCCAACACGGAACGAGATCATTCGAATGTATTTCTGTTCGCCGGCCCATGGCCTAAAGGGTAACAAACCTACATCCTGATCCGAGGGCGCGGGTTCGAGCCTGTGTAGGGGACCGGGCGATTCTCGCGGCATCCTTAGCCCACGCACGATTGTTGAGGAGTGCGCGGTAGTGAAGCGTCGGTCCTGCCCACCGGTATACTGCTGATACTTTTACTTCTGTTTGAACCATTGTACTAAGAAACAGAAACTCGTTCTGTCATTTTGTATTGGCCTACGTATGTACAACCGGTTCCTCGCGAACCAGTCAGTAAGCAACCGCAGAAGCTGTGTCTGGTTATTACTATGGACAAAAGTGCGGTGTTAGATCTCTGCTCCATGGGCCATCGTGTTCGCTCAAGCCATCCAATTCTCCACCGCTCACAATACTCACGTTCAGATTCGTGAGTACTCAAACTAGATGCAAGCTCTGGTAATCCGAACCGGAACAGAAGCCGACCCTGGTGCAAATGCCGGGAAGAAACCGATCGGTTAGATCTCAGTTGGTGCTGCTCGACGAGGTAAGTAGACGCAACACTGGCACTTACCCAGCTCCCTTCGATGTGCCTGTCCTCCGGATTAGCGGCCTAGGTTTGCACTTACACACCCACCGAGTACCGCATGCTACATTAGCATACTCGGTGACTGCCAACGTGCTCGCAGTATCAAGTCACCAACTGTGGATTGGATTTCAAGATGCTTAGAATTGCGCAAACAACCGATCTGCAAACCAAAACTCCGAGAAGTACTTGAGGATAGTCACGTGACCCATATATATATATATATATATATATATATATATATATATATATATATATATATATATATAACGCCCCCGAATTATCTAGATTGCGAATTTTCGTTTTTATAAACGACTTTGCGAGGCTTATATATCACTTCTCTTCTGTATCCAATCACAAGCTGTAATTATCGTATCGTAGCCGATGCCTGTAAGATCTTTTACTATCATTCGCACACATGTCTTTCACTCAGGTACGCGCTAGTGCATTAAAAACACTTACATTTAATGCAGAAGAACACTGGATTACATCAATACACACACTTGAATTGTCTTGGCTATACATCTAAAGAACTATGTCGTAGTTAACAATAACATAATAATAAAAAGTTATTCCTTAAAATAGAATACGAAGCATTATAACATTTGAAAAAAGTCCGTCACTTTCAACCGATATTTTAACATGATTTCGAGCGGCAGTTTCACAGCTACGCATACTTATCGACGTGCAGAAAAAGTGACTGGATGTTAAGTGTGAAGATACGAGCAACAGGTCTCCAGTGTCCCACAATCAGAGCATGTTAGGTGAGTCACGTGACTCCAATCCGTCACTTGCGCATAGCCTTCTGTCGGACTGTGATAGGCTAGACGCGTGGGCTCAACCAAATGTTGGCCAATGTCTAAGTTGAGGTGTCTCGTGTGTGACACAGGTACACAATCTGGGACGCACCGAACAGATGGTGTGATTGACACAGAGAATCAGGTGCAACTGGACCTTCCAATGTCTATAGCTGAACTCACAGTATCAGACTTACACGGTACTAGGTTGCGATACTTGTTACGTAGACGGTTTTCGGGCCGTTGGCCAACTTGACGCGTAAGCCGTTTCGCCTGTTCCTGTCGCATGGCGTGGATCTGTAGATGCTGTGAACATGAACAAAAGAAAATGTCGTTCGTAACCAAACTACTCGCACACAGCAGTAAAATGAGAAGCACCATAAGTGAGCATGTGCTTAAAATGCAAAGATTGCTCACGGGCGGAACACAGTGAAGGGATTACATATCAGATAAACACTCGATCCATTTAAGTTCCCGCATTGACTAACTTAGTGGAACTGCAAGATTCCTTGGTGTAAGTTGAACGGATCTCACGCGTTACCATCCAAACAGCACGCTAGAAGAGAGCAGTTTCGCCTTCACCAAACATGGTACTTGGCGTGTATAGCGCACCTTAGTTGGAAGCTTCCAAGAGTGACCTTTAAAATGTGCAATCCCTCTTAAGTATCTAGGTGAGTATAAAACATCGTAAAGACGGTGTAGACCGATTCTTCCCTGAGAGACACCAGCAAGTGGGATGTACCTGATGTCACTATAGTAGCATTTCTAACTAGGGTCGGAAATAAGTTACAAAAAGAAAACTTGGATGTCAAGTTTAGTTCCGTATCTGATCCTCAAAAGAGCGCGGGACGCCCGGTTGTGATATAGCCTATAACAAACCCTGTAGGCAGCGGCAGCGGCTTGTTCTCGTCACATGTGGTTCGACAACAGTGAAGGGCATACCCGATTGCATAAAACACCTGATGGTGATAGGCAGAGAAGGAAACTGCACCAAATTTTGGAGTATACTGAAAACAAAAAGCCTATCTTTACCATCTTGTTACCACAAGCACGACTGGTTGCTCGTGAAATAGTCGAAAACCTACGACACATAAACCGTGTGGATAAGATTGGGAAAAGGTAGCTCTCCGAGCTATCAGCTATCAGTCTCGCCCAAAATGTTCAATTCCCCACCGACAATCTATCGCCACGTGAATATTCAGGACGCATATTCAGGTGGTCTAAACCATGACATAATGTGTCTCTGGTACTGGTTGATTCTCAGCTATTACTCGCTAAATGCGTTTGAATGTGACGTTATTTAGGTAAGAGAATCAAGAAACATCTTCCGAATCGGATAAGTAGTAAGACAAATGTAGGCAGTTTCAATGTCACGAGCAGCCAACTGGTCCACATTGGGGATCAAACTAATGAACAAGCGAATTTCGAAGTGCTGCATAAAGTAACATCGCAGCATAGTTGCAGACTGAATACTGAATACTGATTCGAAGCAGCGAGTAGAGCTTTCTCTGTGTAGCAGCATCATTCGTCGCTCTTGGACATATTCTCCTTATTTATTGTTCCGCTCTCTATATTTTGCTTCTGCAAAGTGTTTGTCTAGGAGATTCTTAAATTCAGACACTGGGTTCGCCTCTACTATGTGCTGCGGCAGGTCGTTCCAGACATTCACCGCTCTGCGTTCGAAACAGAGTTGGTGAGCGACCCGCTTCAACTTCGGCACGATAAATTTATACCGGTGTCCTGGCGTGCAGCTTGGTGTGCGCAGATGAAGCAGTTGTGTCAACATGGGGTAATCACTCAGATATAATGTCCGGTCTGTCGTGATGAGGTCAACCTTCAGCCGACGACAAGCTAGGGTGTACAGCCCTAGTTTCTTACATCGGTCTTCGTATGGCATATCTCGTAAGTTGGGAATCAGCCTGGTGGCTACATGCTGCACCCGCTCAAGCTTTTCTACCTCGCCCAGGGTGATGGGACAATACGCGGGAGAGCCGTACTCTAGCATTGGTCGTATTATCGAGGCGAAGAGGCGAGTAGCAATCTCTTCAGACCAATTGCTGAAGCTGCGCCTGAGAATGATTTTCGCTACTGTGTAGCCAGTAAAGATAATAATGACAAGTTTGAACCAATATCTTCAAAAGGAAACAGTCTTGTCATTAAAGCCACCTGTCACGCTCCGACGCTCCACATAACAGAATGTAATGAATTGAATTGTGCCACAAAGACCATTAAACCCCTCAATCAAACCAGTCTCGTTGTACTCTTAATTGAGCTTAATTTCGCACAATGTATATAACGTAGCGTGATGAAGAGGCAATCGGAAATAACTGCTTGAATTACGCTCAACATAAAGTATATTTCGATGAGTTGAAAATGGTTGTCTCCGAGGAAAATTTCGTATTTGTTTTAAACACGCATTGTACCAGAGGCAGATATGATTCAAAATGTCTTGAGGTAGACAAAAGGTGTAAGGGAAGCCTGTATTGTGATAGTTGTTTTACCTTCAAATGTCACCCCAGTAAAACTACCAAATAGGTTCATGAGTCGCTTTCATGTTAATGATAAGTGCGTAATTACTTTAAGAATCAAAATTTTGTGGAATGGAAACTGGATTACTGTGCACTAAACCGATACTGGGAGTAACAATGGAGCAACAACAGTGGAGTCGTGGATTAACTACATGTCACATACCATCTTCGGAAGCATGAAAACCAATCGATGATCACATGAACGATCACGAGTTAGTTGACGAGAAGCACTGTGTACTGACGTGGTTATTGGAAGTACTAATCCACGTGTACCCACGCACGCAGAACGGGTATAGTTGGACAGGAGTGTGTCCGTGTTGGGTCCAAGTGTTTTGATAGAGCCGTGGGTCAACAAGTAGGACCCATTTCATCTGCAGTAAGTCAGGTTACTTGCCTTGAGCAAACGATGCCTGCGGAGTGTTGGTCGTGTCTGGTTGGGTCACCGTGAAGGCGTGTATCCTGGCGCGTGAGCATCGAACGTTTGGTGTTGTACGATGCAACAATCTGTTGAATTTAAACTGTCTAAGCTGAATAGGTCATCAGCCTGCTCCAGTGTGTGATCCTTACCAGTCCCGCACCGATACGCAGTTAAAGACAGCGAAAGTTATGCAGAAATTGGTCAAGGGAATGAATCAGGTTGATGCGTGTCGTCCGCTTGGATGGAACTTTCATGATCACCACAGCGAATAGAGGTCTGTTGCGGCCGACTATAGTGACGTATCCAGTGGAACTTTTCCTTGGGTTTTCTGCTCCCATCTGTTAAATCTTTCAAGCGAAGAATATAATGATTAATGGGCTGTTAGGTTTGCAGTTTTCAAGTCAGAGTTTAACTTCCTTTTTCATCTAATAACCGCGGTTGGTGCTTGTTATTTTGATGGTAACAATGTAGACCAAAGCAGCTGGATCCACTACAATTCGGTGCGCAAACCCTATTTCAGCAACGGAAACAAAAGCTGCTCACACAACAGCATAATGTCATCAGATGGCTTAGAGAGAAAAGTCATCTTGCTGGAAGCTAGCTTTATGCGCCGCCCGTTGGATATGTGTAGCAAAAAGGAGAATGAACCGCGTAATGTCCCAGCGTCAGCTTCCATCTCCTGTGGACCGTTGGTCTTAACTCACTGCACATTGCAAGTTCTGGCTGCTCAATAAGCAAATGGAAGGCGTCTCACAAATGAGGTCCGAAAGGAAGAAATGGCGGTCCGGTGTTTGAAAAAATATGTGGTAATTGCTAGATAGGGTAGCGACCCTGAATGTATCGTAAAGTGATCCAAATCCGATTCTATCCACTGGGATGAGTAGATAGTGCTCGGTCACCGGTTACATAGTCAGTGCTAGTTCTTCCCCTCTCCGCAGCAGTAAGATCCATTCTCGCTAGACTACCCATCTCCGCTTAGACCCACAAGTAACGGCTACTGGTATTTTAGCTTGCCGAATCGATCTATTCCTGCGCAGCGCATTAACATCACAGTGCTCTAAATCATGCCATTATTAATGCAATTAAGGAATCCGTCCTGATGGTGAGAGCGCTCAGAGTCGCTTAGATGTATCATGAATAACGATGTGCGGTAGCAGCAAGATAAACTGGTGCGCTAACCTTGAATTCTTGACGTAATGACTGATAGTCGTTCAACGAATGCCTTGAACACCACAAAGTGAATTCGTGCACAGAGATGGGGTCCGGTGGACGCATAAGGAACCTGGTGTGGAAGAGCAGAAGAAATGAGGTTACAAGATGCCAAGGCGTTTGAAATGTGCGCAGACGCATGCGAACTATCATAACTGAATTGAAGTAATGTACAGGAGAAATTCAACAGCGTACCAGTTTTGAACTATCTAGCTATAAGCCCACAACTCATCCAAGCAGCCAACGCAAAACGCAAACGTGCTCAAGTAGAACTCATGACAGATCCTAAAGAGTCTAGAACACGGAGTGGTTATGAAGATTAGTTGCGAAGATGGAATTCAGGCAATTTTAATTACGTATATGTTAGTCACTAAAATACGGTGGTAAAACCCTAACTGCTAAATTATTGGCTATTCTTCGACAATGCGCACAAGAGCGAATGAAGGATTGATTTGAAGCATGAAACGATCACAGGGGAGACATTTACTTGGCAATCTTTGGAGGCAGAATGGGCTGTTTCATCTCCAAGCACATGGCAGCTTCCTCATCGTCAGAGTCAGCTAAGCTGTAAAAGAAGACAAAGGGTGAAGATGGTCTTTAAAGATATGGACGTAAAGAGAGAACTTGTTGTTCAGTGGAAATCTCTGACCGGTCAACTTGAGTGAGAAATGTGGATTATATTACTCACAAACCAACAGACTTAAAGATTCTCGACCAAGTTAGTAAACAGGTGAAACCCAGCCGCACTGGTGCTCACGAGCGGAGTGAACACAATGCACATATGATCGCGGAGAACGACGCAAGCCATGGGATGCGGTGAATCAAAAAACCCACCGGCGGACGGCCCTCATGACAGTTTAAATGTAGCAAACAGTAACACGGAAGCGCTCTGGAGCGATTTCCGGACATAGTCAATGAAGATGGAGGGGTAGAAATGGGGGTCCGGGAGGTGCAAACAGTATCACGAAAAAGCACCTACAAATGAACAGACAGAATACCCATTGGGTCGAGCAGTCAACATTCCGAGCATTTACATTGTATTTCTATAGAGTGTGTGACAAGGATGAAAAACAAACCTGCCGGTTGGTAAACAAACCTAAAGACTCATTAAATGCTCTTCATGGTGTTGCCAACTGCAGTGCTGGATTACGTCCATATTCATATCGCCACAAGATAGGATCAACAAGCGTGATTAACAATCCATCGCACTGCGGATTATTAGGGGGTTTACATCAGCAACTGCGTTGCTAGAAGACATACTAAGAGGTCGTTGGCTGAACAGTAGTCTCTGAGATGTATAGAGAGCAAATGATATTAAAGAGACCCCCTCTGCCTTTGATTTGGGATCAGTGCTACCATATGGAGAGAAGATAATTGGTGGTGACTTCAGCTAATCAAAAATCATCTGGTCACCACAATCACCTTCATTGTTGCATACAGAGCTGGCGGATGTATTCAGTGGGTTAGTAAACCAAGGTGATCCACGATTCAAAAATCAGAACATTAGAAAACCCTTATAGTGACCACGTGGTGTTACATCTAACCCTTTGCAAAGAAACTGATGCTAGATGGCTCAATAATCTGGAATAGTATCCACAGAATTGGCTGGAAGTACTTTCAAGAGTCTTTCCTATCTTCCGCAACAAGGCTCGCAAACCTATTGCACAAAACATTACAACAGCCATCGTTTTGACTTTCTCCTCGTCAGATATCCTGTCCTGTGGTGAAGCATAGCAGCCATTATCAGGCCTTGTATAGGCGTAAGAAAATTCTGCATTAAACTTAGGAGTTCCCTGGACCAGAACTCCATAATCACGCGTTATTCAAGAAAAAAGAAAAAAGGGTTTTTCTAGGATAGACCAAGAGGCAAATATCTGCCAGGAAACCTGTAACAAAAAACCCAGCACCAACATAAACCAAGTAGATTAGAATGAGTAAACAAAAGAAACTTGTTTCACGCATGCAATAGCATGCATTAAGGCATTCGGACAAAATGGAAACAGTCATGAAAAGACGGTGTAGCAAACAAGTTCGTTTGCGGTGATACATCGTCAGGCCCAATAAACCACATTCAATTAGTTAAGATAAGAATGCATGGATTGAGTCACTAGAAAATGAAGGTGTGTGTGATTCGTTCACACGGAAGCTACCCAGATGACAGCTGGCCATGGTAAAGTCAAGGCTTTGACGAACCGTTAGTACACACACATCGGGACGAATCGCGATCGCCTCCGACAATGCAAGGATTCGGCATCTGATAAGCTTGGAATGAACCTTCCTCACACGTTAGATCGGGTGAAAGGCTTTAGAGATAACGACAGGATGATTCGTTTGGGCTGGGTGCGCAACTATCGCGGTGATGCGGGTTTTGTCCACTCCTCGGCTTAGCCACGCTGAGTGATGCTCACAGACGCGTTCAGACAAATATCTCGTGGTGCGACCTATGTAACTTGTCCCACAGGAACAAGTGAATTGGTACATGCATAAGGAAGTGACATCCACAGACAGTAGTTTATCCTTCAGTCAAAAGTGTAGCATGGGCGTGGAAGTGAAGCTAATGTGCAACCGTGTGGCCCCATAGGCGTTAATGACGGTGGTTTTTACTGATTCGTTAAGGTATTCTGAACAGTGTTCTCCCTTGAAATGCAACAATAAATCGACAGGCTTCTTTCGTGCTGTGGGTGTTTTGGCGACACTTCAGTCAATGCGACTGAAAAGTTCATATCTAAATCCCTCGGATAAATGAAACGAAACGGACTAGTTGATTCTCTTACATTTCCAAAAATTCGTCCCGTCGGCACCATTATTCCCAGGTTGTATGGACCAGGCAAGATAAATAAAGACGGAGCCCTTTCCGACTCATTCTAGAAATGTGTAACTCCCCGTATCATACGTTGGCAAAGTGGTTGGCCGAACTGCTGGAACCAACAAGAAGGGAGTTAGCGACTCCTAGTTTGAGCGACACGTTCGAGTTCGTCAACAGTATTAGAACTCAAAATGTGGACAAAAAGCAACTAGTTTCGCAAGCTGTGACGTCATTATTTACTAATATTCCCGTTAAAAGGACTACCGATTTTCTTACTGAATACATCGAGCGCGTAGGTAAACAAATTGGTTTACCAGTGGAAGAATTGAACACGTTGCCACATCAGTGTACCCACAACATCGAATTTCGCTTTGCCGGACAGTTATATCAACTGAAAGGAGGGCTAGCTATGTGGTCACCATTAGGTCGCTTGTTCGCCAATGTGTTTATGGCCAAACTAGAAAAGGGTCAGTTGCATGAAATGATTGAGCGACTGGCACCCTATGAACTCTATGTTGATGACGTAATGTGCATAGCTGACTGTTTTGTAGACCAAGTTGAATTATTACGGAAATTCAATCGGACCCACAAACACATTTAGTTTTGCATGGAACCTGTCAATTGAAGGTCTGGCTTTCCTGGACGTTCAAATGTCACGTCGACCAGATAGCTCACTGCAGCGTAGAACCTACAGGAAAGCGACGCGTATCCAGTTCTCTTCACCATATCTGACAACTTACCCGCCATAATCTTCTACTCGTTGGAGGGCTGAGTGACGCATTCGGTTGACGCGTTTCGCGTTGAACACAATCAGCAAGCTCAGGGCAGCCAGTAAACCCAGGACGAAAAGTATGCCGAAGATCAACCCGGCAATAGCTTCGGCGTTCATTTGTCCGGATGCGGAACTTCGATAGCTTCGTGCGAATTCGACAAAAGCAAAGCCAATTCCGGTGTCTTGCAGCAGGAGCGATGAAAATATGTTCCGGGGATACGATAAGAAAAACGCGCCGTGATAAGAAACTTGTTCCTCAATAACGGCTATTCCCAGGTCTTCATTAACAGAAATATGCGAACGGATTGCGTGGTCGCCAAAACGCCCACGGTACGAAAGAAGCCTGTCGATTTATTGTTGCATTTCAAGGGAGAACACTGTTCCGAATACCTTAGCGAATCAGTAAAAACCACCGTCATTAACGCCTATGGGGCCACACGGTTGCACATTAGCTTCACTTCCACGCCCATGCTACACTTTTGACTGAAGGATAAACTACTGTCTGTGGATGTCACTTCCTTATGCATGTACCAATTCACTTGTTCCTGTGGGACAAGTTACATAGGTCGCACCACGAGATATTTGTCTGAACGCGTCTGTGAGCATCACTCAGCGTGGCTAAGCCGAGGAGTGGACAAAACCCGCATCACCGCGATAGTTGCGCACCTAGCCCAAACGAATCATCCTGTCGTTATCTCTAAGGCCTTTCACCCGAGCTAACGTGTGAGGAAGGTTCATTCCAAGCTTAT